AAAAAAAATCCACCCCGATACATAAGAAGCATTGTTGCACATTCGAGGGATTGACAATGAGATGTTGGAGCAAAAGAAGAGGTTGATTATTGTGGGAGGAAGCAAAGGCAATGTTCAGAATGAATGTATGTGTACTCTGCCTCTCGGAATTTTGTCGTTGTATTATGTCAACAATTAGGAGAAAAAGAAAGAAAAAAGAGACACGAACGAAACGAAGAAGAATCATCATCAGATGATCATATGTTCGTTGCCGACGACATCTTCTAAAGCTTGACATTTTTCGTAGCAGACACGTTCTTGGGGAAGCATATATAAATACAGTAAAGAAAAGAAAGATGACACACAAAAAAAAAGAAAGAAAACGAAAAGAAAGGGGACTGCGAAAAAAGGTCAGAGATTATGGAAGAAATCTACTATCACAGAGAGAAGAAAGAAACGAAACAAAAGGATTATTCCTTCTTATTCTTTTTCACCACGAACATCACCTATATACTACTGTCTAAAGAAAATGTGAATTCCAGGAAATAATATTCCGTCTGTTTACTTACAGATTTAGTCTGTTAAAATGAAAATATATGAAGTAAACAAAAAAAAAGGAGATTACCTCTAAATATATTGTCGTTCGTTTTTCTTTCTTTATGACAATACGAAAAAGAAAAAAAGTAGAAGGACACTGCCAGAGATAATCGAGTTTTACGAGCATTTTATAGCGAAAAAATGAAAGAGAAAAAAAAAGAAGAATTGCATGTATGTGTGGCACATGGAACTTCTTGTTGTTGACATAAGAAGGCAGGCAGCAGTTATAGACTGATAAACGGTCTTATCTTTCGGCTGCTGAAGAGAGCAGCACCGCAAACGTCTCATACACACACACATACACTTCAATTTTTTTTCATTTTGAAAACAGAAGAACATGAGAGAGAGAGAGGGAGAGCGAGCGAGCAAGGAAAGATCATAAAAGTAGTGGAACTCGATAGAGATTAGAATTGACGCATCCACTTAAAAATATACTTGAACATAATGATAGTCAGAAAAGAAAGAAATTTATTTAAAGAATTGTTTGTCAATAATAATAATAACGAAAAAAAAAGAAAATTTCATATTCGTTTTGTTGTTAAAAGAAAAGCTAAGAAGATATATATATATATATAACTATAAGAATTGTTGTTCTGTGTATTCTTTCACGTGGTAAGATCATTTTTTAGAAGAATAACTGCCATTTTATTCTCATTGTTAACATACAGAAAAGAAAGAACGAAAGAAAAATAACAATTAAGGTAAAAAAGAAAGAAAAGTTGTTAAAATATTTTTTTTCGTCGATAAATACTTAATCAATCGATTACTTACAGATAATTTTCATTTAAATCAAAACATGTATCTATATTTAAAATATTTAAAATATTATTACGTTTCTTTTTTTGAATATTTAATAGGAAAATTTGTTGAGATCATAAATGTTGACATATACCGGATTTATTCATAATAATGGATACAAACAAATAAATTGATTAGGATGATTATACAACAATATTCATATTTAATAATATAATATCTAGAAATATTGAAATAAAAAAAAGGAACATTTGTTTTTAAATCCATATGCATGTGATAGCTTTAGAAAAAAATATTTATAAAACTTTTTTAAAGTTAACATAGAAAACAGGTTGCCTTTTTGACCGTATAAATGTGTTAAGGATACATTTTTAACAAAGTGTGACGTTTTATCTGATGTTAATAGCCTGTAACGGAGAAAAACATATGAAACTTTGTCGAAAACATATTTTTAATATGTTTTTTTACGATCATACCGATAACATACTTTTCCTTAAATTTACATGGATTTTTGATATGAAAAGCGAATATTCGTATCATTACTGGAAACGATATCTATCATACTTTGACTCTTCGTAATTGCAATTTAGAGAATCTATGACACAACAGTAATAGGAAAAAAAGATATTTCGCAATATTTTTCATAATAAAAATATTACTCGTTTTTTTCCACTTCATGAAACATATCAATAGAAATAATTTTGAAATTCAGCTACATTTACTAATTACCGTAAAATATATTAATATTCTTGTTAACTATTTAATTAAATTTAAAAACAAAATAAGACAATGATATAATTAGATTTTTGCAAATTCGAGTCAAAGAAAACATCATATTTTAACAATGGAAATATATGAATGATTTAATAATCACAGGAATATGTTCATCATTTTTTTTTCATCAAAAAAAGAAAATTCAAGCAATTATTTGTCTGGTAGTAGTAAATTGTCTTTTGCAAATATATGGAAGTAAAATCAATATTACTAGAAGAAAAAAAGGCTGGTGATTAAATATCTGGTAAGTAAATATTTTATTCATAGAGAGAAAGATGTATATTTTTATAGTAAAAAATCGCATGAATTTAATACAAAAAACAATTTACAAAGATTAATTAGTCATTTGATTATATGAGACTTTACAATTGTCGTCTTCATTCATGATCCTTATCAATCGTTTTTAATTTACAGATAATCCATGCATCCAAATAAAAATCAGGACTAGCCATATAATCATATCGCAATAACTTCTATTAATAGATGGAAAATCTTGTGTAAGCGACGATTCTATTTTAAATACATCAACATTAAGTTATAATTCAGTAGCACTTGTCACTGCCTAGGACAATACCATTTAAAAGTCATTTTCTATGACTATTTCAAATTGATAAAGATCTTTAAATTGGCATCAATAAATCTTGTATGATTATACAATACTATAAGGCCAAATACTTATCTTTGATAACGAAAATCACAATATATATATATATATACATGTGTGTGTGTGTATCGATTATATAATATAATACTTCATTTCATGCATCAATGCACTAATAAACAAGTATCTACCCATCATAACATATTTTGTCTTTTATTTGTTCGATTAGATTATTAAGTAACATCAACATTATCCTACCTATGTATATATTATATTTTGATCGAAAACATTCAATGTACCTTCAAAAATATAACAAATTTACAATCGATTACGACAACTATCTTTGAAATTGATGAACAATATCAGACGTAATAAAAAAGAATCTATTTGTATTGTGTCTATTAATTAAGTACAGACAAAAATTCAATGTTCAACACGACTATAAACATCATCATCATATATATGTACATTTTATTGCTAAGTATGGCATAATCATATATGAATGGAATTAAATTAATATTTATTTATCATCTATAATCTACTTAAATCAACTAAAAAATAAATATTTTCAAAAAAAGCCGTACCCCCCTACGGTAAAATTTTTTCATCGCTATTAATGAAACATCAGACTAAACTATTGTATTAGTTTTTGTTTAAAGGTGTTCCAATTTTATAAATATTAAAATAATTTTCTGCTTCATATAATCGTTCAAATGAATAAACAGTATCTTTCGATGGAATTAATTGAGTTAAACCAAAATTTTCATCAGAAATTTGAATTAAATCGATATTTTTTGGTATATTATTTAAATCAATACGAAATAGATATTGTTGATCATATGGTTCAACATTTGTGGAACTTGTTATATAGATAAATTCTTCATTAGCACGTAAATTATTTGGTATTTGTTCCGACATACGTGGATAATCAGGAAATAATTGACGTAAATTAAATGTTAAAGTTAATTGTTTATTATATAAATTATAAATATAAATATTTGTTTTTTCATCAATAACAGCAATTGTTGTTGAATTAATTGTATCCAAATGAAATGATATTGATTTTATTAGAAAATCTAATGATATTTTCGAAAGTTGTTTATTTATATTCCATTTAGTCGATGAACTAATATTCAATGTATATACAATATATTTTTCACATAAGAAAAATAATTGTGGTGGTTCAGCCGGAGACATACTGGGCAATAACCAAGTATCATAAGAAGTATTTGATGGTAATTTACCACCGGTGATTCGAGGTTTTGTAAGTTCATTTGTTGTTATATCCCTAGACAAAAAAATTTAAGCTATTTTTATATCTAGCACTATACAGATGAAGGTCAAAGTTAAAAAAAAACAAATATATATTATTTCGATTTCTTAAATAAATATTTAAAATCTTGTTCTATATGATTACATAAATAATCAGTGCTGAGAGTGTTTTTTCATTAGTTTCAAAAGAACAAATCGCTATAGAATAATTTTTTATTACTTTTCTTCATATAATTCTATATGGATTCGAAATTAAATATAAGTCAGGACCACATTAACCTACATCAGGTCAGTTGAGTTTAACTAATCAAAGATCTATACAATTAATGTTTTTTTTATATTAATTCTTTGAAAATAAACACGATTAACATTCCTTACCATTGCCAAAAATTCGCTAAAATTTTCTTCTTCTCCGGTATTGATTGAAACCATACGAATTTAGTAAATGTTTGAAAAGGAAATGTTTGATTAATATTTTCATTAACAGTCATTGATTGTAAATCAATTCCTTGTAAATACGAAAATCCTTCTGGTTTATACAAATTTTGAATAAAACCAACAAACATTAAATCATCTGTATATGGTAAAAGAAAAAATAATTGTCGGCCTATAGTATCATTATAATGATATGGTAAAATACATTGACTTATTGGTAACATAGTCGATGTATTTAATTTAACTAATTGATACGGTTCAGTATATGTATATAGTAAATAAATAAATGTTCGATTAGTAGATAAACCATTTATGTCATCAATATATGATGTTGATTCATTGACAGTAATTAAGATTTCAAAATTACTTTTAGCAGAAATTAGAGATACAAGAAAATAGAAGAATATTATAGTTAACATAATTATAAAGCTTTGTATAGACTAACATGATATTTTACTTATCTTTATTATGAAGAGATAAAAATGTTTATAAAAGAAAAGCAAGAATATATAAAAAGATATTTTTTTCCTTTAATAAATATTCAAATAGAAATGGTCTGCCTAAATATTCAAGTATAAAATTGAATTATATGTTTCAAAAAATAGTATTTCAAAATACGCACACGTTATGACACTTACATAATCTCATACATACATAAAGCAATTCTTAGACAACTACTCAAGTATTCAATTGTGTCTGAATTGCTTAGATAACATCCAAATCTCAAACTTGAGTTCAAGTTGGATGCATATCTGTGTAGAAGATGTGACAAAGTATGAGTTATTATAATAAAAGATTAGCGAAAAGTCTATATGAGAATATTTCTTAAGATTTAGCATAATACTTAATATAGTGATATAATACGAATTATCTCATTTTGATTATATTCTTGTCTACAAATGACGTTGGAATAGAATCACTGGAGAATATTTCCAAAGTCTTCTCATTTATTTTGTTACAAATAAATAACCATACGCAATAATTACTTCATATAATAAAATAAAAATATCTTTCAAACGAATATATATCAGTCAATTGGATACTTCCGTTTATTAAGAGAAGATTTACCTTCATTAGCATTTTCGTTATATATATATATAATAAAACCTACATTATTCAAGATATCTAACAAGACAATTAGCAAAATACTTCAATGATGTTTTCTTCATGCTAATGATCATAATAAAAGAAAATCTTTTTTAAGATCTAGTTTCTTTTTTTCTAATGAGAAAAATACTTGAGATATCAAAAACAAAAAAAGTGTAATCAAATTTTTTTTTGTTGAACTTTGATTTGTTACAAGACGTTGAACAATCTTCTAAGTTTACGAAAATAAGTATTGACAAGCATTGTATCATATGAAAATGTGTTTTCATGCATACAAAATATTCACATATATATATAGAATTTGTTGTTCTATTGAGAATAAGAAAGTGTATGTTCATTACGAGTCAAGTACAAGTGAATTGCAGATTTCCATTCGTTTTCCTCCGGCTATATGCCTACTTATCTGTTTCTATCTTTAAAAAATCGATCCAACCGCAATAAAGATAGAAATATAAAGAAGTTTTTTAAAAGGTTTTTTTTGTCACTCTTCATATCTTTCTTTTCTTTCATGAAATAAATAGTATTTTATGCATAATCAGAATGGAAGATCATTGTCGTTTTTCTTCTCTCTATCTTTTCTTTTCTTGTCTTATTACATCGAACAAAACAGATTCATATTCTCATTGAAACAAATATCTATGGACAGCACAAGACAAAATGAAAAGAGTGATGTGTCATTTATGATGAGTAGATCTTAAGATCGATTTATAATCTTCGACTTCGACTTCGTCTTCTTTTTCTTGTTTTTTGTTACTGTAGTAGTTGTTGTTGTTGTTGTTGAAAATGGGCATCATCATTCTCTCTCTCTGCGTTACTCTATACTCTCACGTCGTCACCCTGCGGCCTGTCAGTAAAACTTTTCGACAAGTAATGAATGAACAAAGAGGGAGCGATGATGGTGACGGAATATATCCAAATGCAAAACAACTAAGATAGAAAAGAAAAAGAAGATGAAGATGAAGAAGAAGCAGTAGTAACCAAAAGACTAAAATCAGTTTCTTTTGTTCATATATTAAGATAGTTAGAATATTTAGACTATTATGAAATGTGTCGAAACTAATAACAAACAAAATAAATATTACTTTATAATATAAAAAGAAATGATCAACCAAACTATAGACAACTCTACTGATGAAATTTTTTTTACTCTTGCATTACCTCTATTTGTACAAGTGAGTAACTTTCTCTCTATGATAATCTCTATTCAATATATATATATTTTTTTTAGTGCATATTTTTATTATTATTTGCTATTGTTGTAATTTTGGCTGTATGTGGAAATAGTATTGTTATATGGATTGTACTTGCACATCGTCGAATGCGAACACCAACAAATTATTTTCTTGTTAATCTGGCTTATGCCGATGTTCTTAATGCACTCTTTAATATTCCTTTTAATGGTTTTTATATGGTCGCACAAATAACATGGCCATTCGGAATTTTTATGTGTCCTTGGGTACAAGCTGTTTCTCATATATCAATTGCTGCAAATGTACTTACTTATGTAGCAATTAGTTTAGATAGGTAATATAAAACAAAATACATACATGAAATCTTAATTAAAGTTGATGTTTTACATAGATATTTTGCGATTATTCATCCTTTACGTACGAAATTAACACGTACACAAACAATTATGATAATATGTGGTATTTGGATCCTTTCTTTACTTGTATCATCACCAGCAATACGATCATTTAGTAAAGTTGTTTATGATTGTAAAATAGAGGATATTAAAAGTCATGAAAAGTATAAGAAATTTCAATTATTTACGTTAAGATATACATTTAATTTTTAGATTTGAATGGATATTTTTCTCGGTAACTTATATTTGTCCGATTGTTATTCTTACAGTAACATATACACGTATAGCAATTGAACTTTGGGGACAAACTGGTTTGATAAAAAAATTTTCATATTTGATTTTCTTTATATTTATTATAGCTATTGGAGAAGTTACAAAACGACAACGAGATTCAATACAATCAAAACGAAAAGTTGTAAAAATGCTAATAGCTGTTGTATTAATCTTTGGTATTTGTTGGTAATATTCTTTTTTTTTTATCTAATCTTGTAAAGAAAATCGGATTCTATTTTTTGTTTAGGTTTCCTCAACAACTTTATTTCATTCTTGTTGCTGCATATAAATCGATTCCTGAATGGCAAGGTACACCATATGTCTATCTCATATCATATCTATTTGCCATGAGTAATTCAATGTACAATCCATTTCTATATTGTTGTATGAATAATAGGTAAATAACAATGATCTTTTTTTTCTTCTCTTCTATAATAATAATCAATTAATATTTAGATTTCGTAATGGTTTTCGTAGTGTATTTCGTTATTGTCCATGTATTAAATGGTCACCAGAATTTGAATTTGCCTCAGATGGTTATGTTTCATGTCGTAGTGTATCGGAACCAACAGCACTTAGTGCAATTTATTCATCTCAACGTAAAAGTCGTACAATTGGTACAACAAATTCACCACAACAATCAATAATAACAGAATTATCTGGTAATATTAATCGACATCAACGACATTACGAATCTAAAAATTAAAATTTTCGTTTACTTTTTATTTCTGTATATTTTATTTTTTATTGATGTTGTCAATTATAGAGAAAGAAAAACATGAAATATATATATATATATAAATTAGAGTTCACGATGGTTTATAAAAAATAAAACAAAAGAAAATGATGACGTTTCATATGGAATTACATATTCTAGATATTAGGTTCTTAAGTTATGATTTTTTTGTTTTTGTTTTCATCTATTGTACCCAATTACCATTAAGTCGAGCTAGAAGACGGAGCCAATGGTTTTCTGATTTAGAATCTGAGCTTTTATCTTGTTCATTATTTGAGTTTGACTGTTGATCATTAGTATTTGCATCAGATACATGTTTACTTGTTTCAGATATATCTCGATAACTATGTAATAATTTCATACTTTGACGTTCTTCCTAAAAAAATCAAAAACATGTCAACATAATTAAAACAGATTCAAAAAACATGATATTGCATGTCAAACACAGATTGTTTTTTTTTTATATAATATTTCTAAGAAATTAATTCAAGGAAATTTGAAATAAAAATAGATTTATATCCAGGTTCATCGAGCACGAAGTCAAAATATTTTTTCAAACTTTATGAAAACTTATACTTTAAAAAAATAATAGTTTATCTATCAGTATTTTTATCTTACACTTCGTTCATTTTGAACAGTATTATAATTTTCATCATATACACGTGGTCCTGCTTGTATATAACGTGGTGCTTCAGCTGTACCATGTAATACCAAATGAAAATTTTCTAATATACCTCCATTGTCTTGGTTACCAGTCTAAATTAATTTTATATAGATAAGAAATTATAAAATAAAATATATAATTTACATTATCCATTATTTTAATTGTCCATAAACCTTTTGGATTCTCTCCCCAAGTATGTACACTCATAAATGGCCAATTTCGAAAACCATCTGGTGATCTATCTTGTTCACGTTCAGTTAATAATGTTGTTTGAGTACCTAATTAATATCGTATTAATTAATTAATTTAAAAAAATTGAATAAAAACTTACCATGTGGACTAGTTATATTAATTTTAAGTGCACCACGATTTGAATAACCAATTGTTATATAAAGCTGAATATGTTCAAGAAAACGAATAACATTATTTTCCCCTTCACAACCAGTTACTTCAAAATCAATAGCTAATGGATGTTTAGCATTAATTTTTCTTTATTAGACAAAGATATACAATGATTTGCAAAATAAATAATAAATTATTCAACTTACTGTGGTTGAAAATTAACTGGTTCAATTTCACATATTCGTTTTTCCGGTACAGTAATCCATTTCTTAGCAGCTTCAGTTAATGCTGCTGCATTTAAAAGACCAAAACCAAAACGACTGTTAACCTTAAAATATTTTTATTATATTTAATTCATTTAGTTTATCAACTAGAGTAGAGTCGTTTTGACGTCTAGGCATATTTTTTTATTTGAATCTAGTTTCATGTTTTGTAGATTATTAATGATTAAATATGAAAGAAAGCTTCAGTCAGTATTAAGACCTCAATCTACATTTTTATCATGAAATCTAAAAAGCAATAAAAACTATGTCGCATATGAGAATGAATATATCATGGATCTTTTATCTCATTTAGTTTTTAAGAGTAGCAAAATGAAATTAATCGAACTATTAAATAATCGTGATATATTATAACAGGAAGTAAATGACAGCGAGTATTGTATTTGTAATAGCATTGACGTCACATTACTCTCGTTTTTTCTAATATCAAAAGTTTCGACCGTAATAAAATTTTAAGTTTTTATTTGTGAACATCTTGAATTATAATTGCCTCATTGACATGCTGAACAATATTTTTTTTAGCTACATCCTGTTAACAAGACAATATTTTATCATACTTAATGTGTCAGGACTTGCTCTTATTATTAACTAGTTCAAATAAAAAAGTGACTATTTTTCTGAGAAAGCATGACCACAAAGGTCATATTTATCAGAATGCGTCATAAAAAATAAGTACAACGGAAATAGCCATTATTAATTCATTAAATACCGGAAGTTAGATAGGCGAGATGAATATCATTTCTACTGCTAATATATTAAAAGCGCATACTCATTATTTTGAAAACAACAAAGACTTTCTAAATAATTGAATACATACTTTAAAACCGGCACCATTTGTTGTCCAACCATGGTTATTTGCTAAAGGAGCATATTCTGACGTCCATGCTATTAAATGCTGCATATCACGCCATGTTAATTGCGGACTACAATTAATAAAAAATAATTTCAATAAAAAAAAAAAATTTAAAATAAATGATATTTACTTCGCTTCTAAAACAAGCGCAAATATGCCAGCTGCTAATGGTGCTGAGGCTAAAATAGAAAGTCAATTTAATTAATGATATAAAGTTAAAATAAATAAATAAACAAACCAGAAGTGCCTGTATGATCATCTGTACATGAATCATAAAGATCCGTTGTTGTCTACAGAGAATAAGATAATCGAAAAAGAATAATAATTATTTGTAAACATACCACTTTTTGATCTTGATAAGCTCCGGATGAATAAGTTGTTGCCATTGTACTAGGACAACGTTCAGCATACCATGGTGATTGTTGATGTTCAGATGCTGATGAAATTGATATTGTATAAATTGAACCAGTATAACCATCACAACTTAATTGTTTTTTTTTGTGAATTATTATTTAAATAAAAATCAAATAAAACTTACTTGCAATTATCTTGTCGTCGTCCACCATTACCTGATGCCCAAACATAAATTACACCTTTACCATTACGACCTTCAGTAATGCCTTTGATAAAAGCAGCTGCAGCTAATGTACCTGGACCTTCAACCTAACAAATTCATTAATAATATTTTTTTCAAAAGTTTTATCTTACTGTACGTCCATCATCATTTGGACCCCACGAAGCCGAATAAATATCAATATATTTATGATTAAAAGAAATAGCTTCAGCTTCAATACGATCCGTAACATGTCCATCTAACATACGAATACCACCAATTTTTGCATTATATCTAATTAAATATGAATAAAATAGTCAATGAAAACAAAGACAATATTCTTACGCGATACCAACACCACAAATAGAATTATTTGCAATCATAGCTATTTCACCTGCACATCGTGTTCCATGTCTAATAAAAAGAAAGAAATAAGATCAATTGATTTTATAATTAATTTATTTACTTATTTTCATTTGTTAGATCATATCGTGGCGATGGATCATCATCATTATCATTTAAATCATAACTTGCTTTTGGATCATAATTTGCCATTATATCCGAATTATTCCATTCAAGTCCATCATCAAGAATAGTTACTTTAATACCTTTACCAGTATAACCGGCAGCCCATGCTGGTAAAACATGTAAATCAAGTTTAGGTAATTGACTTGAACTTTTTGGTCTTGTATCTTTCTAGAAAGAAAAAAAGAGAAGAAATTCAACATAGAATTAAATTTTCTACTTACTAAATACCATTCGTGATTCCATTCTGGATCGGAAAATGATAAAGATCGATAAACTCGATCTTCTTGTGCACGTTTATCAATATAATCTCGTTTAATACGATTTCGTGATTGTTGTTGTTCAGCCCAAGAAACTTTTTCATGTTTATTAAGTAGATCAGTGAACTCGTTTGTTGCACGTTTGGCTCGTCGAGGTACAGATGGATTTATAAACAGATAATAATTATCAAAGATCTATTAAGAAATAGAAATATATTTTATTTAAATATATAAAATAAATACCTTTCGTTTATTTTGTAAACCAAGTTCATTAGCAATAAGTTCAGCAACATCATCACCTATAGCCATAGACGAATGTTTTTCTTTATGAATTATTTATCTCTCTTACCTTCATCAATGCGTACTACCCATTCATTGGAATGTTCCGGTATAAATTTGTTATTTTCATAATGTTTTTCATATTCAATACTTGCAAATGATACATAGTAAACACTTGATAATCCGATGAAAATAAGTATAGGAAAACGAGACATTTATGGTTGTGAATAAGGAATCCAAAATATGTTAGAATTCCCTCTTCTTATTCTTCTTCTAAATGTTATTACCTATATATATATATATATATGAAACCCTTTTTTTCTTTCTTCTCAGATAAACGGAAGGTTTTTCCTCTGTAGATGTTGTTTTTTGTTTTTGTCGGTTCTTTCCCGTCACTTTTTTTCCTCTTCCTCGTCCGTTTGTGAAGATGATGTCAACTCAGTAAAAAAAAATGCAATTACAATGATTAAAGAAAAATGATGATTCTAAGTTATGTCGACGGGCAAAAAATATAATCGACATTTTCATCTTCAACAACTCTAAATGACTTTGTCAATATGTTCATGTAAAATCATCATATTATTCATTCAGATACATGATTTATACGAGGCGTTTTGTTTGAAAAGAACAATATTGTTAAAGTGATTAATAAGGATATATTTAGTTAAAAATAATATTTAATTTTTTATATTAAATTCTAATGTAGATTCGGCAATGAGCTTATTCTTAGACAAACAACGGATTAAGAGGAAATGAGTTTTTTTCAATAATTAAAATTAGTTTGTCTGATACAACTGCGTCATCAGATCGGTAAATGAAAATAAATATATATATGAACTCACTGACACATGTCATTACGGGTCGATGATTACGTATGCATTATTAATTATCAAGAAAATACAATAGAATGGATAAACAGGTGCATGAGTTTAAACGAAAAACTATATCAAAAATATTAATATCGAGTGTTTTTATGATTATTTACTATGGAAAATAATTAATAGAATTTTTAAAAGGTATTTTGAACAATTTTATGTGCATTTACTTTTGCTCTTAGATATTCAATATATAGATCATCTGGCATGACAATGACTTCTATTTACAAATGTTCTTTTTTTATTGAAAATAAATCAAAAAATATCTTCATTTTGATTATTATTATTATTTTCACTGTTATTTAAACTTGATAATTTTGAACTAAGATCAAGTAAACTTAATGATTGTTCATCAATACCTTCATCAATACTACTACTACTAGTTTCATGTTCATCTTCATCTTCATCATTTAAAAAAATTCCATGTTTATGTAGATCACACATTAAATTTGTTAATAATAATCTAAAGAAACAAATTATTATTATTTTTATTCTTTAAAAAAACAAATTCTTACCGTTTTACTCGAATATTTGACATTATCGATTCAGATAGATTTAAATAATAATTATAAGCATTTAAATGATTTGATGATGGTTCATTGTTTAAGTTAGTTAGAGCTTGTTTAACATTATCCTCTAGAGAATAAATAAAAATTTAATAAAAGCATTTTTTGTTGTTTTCAACATACTCATTTGAAAATATTCGTCAACTAATTGATTATGTTCATTTTCAACTTGTCGTATTTGTTGAAGAAGTTCAGATATTTCTTTTTCCATGATTATTTGGATATAGGAATGATCGAATGTTTGCTTTATATATATATATCCAAAGAGAGAGAGAGAAAAAGGTGTGAATGACCGACATTAATTCAAAATGAGTTACATTGATATCCGGAAGACAAGCTGTGCTTTGAACTTGTTCATTTCAGCTGTTCTTACTGCTAATCTAATCGATGAATGATGCATAAAGAATAGTCATACATGATTGTTAAATTTCTCTTTCGTACCGCCTTTGATACTCATTTATAAATAAAACATTTTCTCTCTCTCTCTTTTTTTTAGAAATTAGTTGTGAAATAAATCAACTTAAGAAATATATAACAAATATGTGACTTTTCTTGATTAATGATAATGATAAGCAAATGTTTCATCTTTA